GACCTCCCCTTCACAGGGGAGGCCACCTCACAGTTTCAGGTAGAACTTGAAGGTTGCTACCATCAGCCGCTGTTTCGGGAAGTTGTTGAGAAGAAGACTTGGTTCGTGCTTCTTCCGTTCTTGTTTTGAAAACAATATGAATAATGCTCATGGATATTATTTTCTGAATATACATTTCGGGGGTTTGTATACCCATGTTTGCCAAGTGTGGCTTGTCCACTTGTAATGATTGTTTCCGCTGTTTTAAATGAATGATTTACATTATGTTTGTTTATGGATGTACTATGTGTGAATGATATTCATGACGCCTTGTATAGTATGGATGAGTTGAACTGCGGTTGACTATTCGTACTGTGCGGCGGGTTGTTGACGTGTCTGGCTAGGTCCGGGGCGTGACACCAACAGAACACCTCGAGGTGTTCTGTCCCGAAGCTACCAGAGGACCTGAAGGCCTTCTGTCCGGAAGCCAACAGAGAACCTCTGAAGTAAATCTTTGAATGATAGTTTTTTCGGACGGCATTCGTATCCGCAGGTCGCCCGCGCACACGAGTCACGGTTTTTCTTCTCAGTTTCGGGATTTGATCGGCACCCCCCCCCCCCCCCCCCCCCCCCCGCGCGAGAGAGAGCCTCTAACTTAAGGAATCTTAACACCTTAAAAGAGGCTTCCCTTTATAAGGGGGTGAAAATCCCTTGAGTTTTCCGGTGTGGTATAAAACACACTAGAAACTCATCTTTTCCCAGTTTTTCCATTTCAACGAATGAACTTCGAGAATCAATTTCTCATTCACCCGTTATCCGTTTTGAGTGTACCACATATCGAATTGTAGCTAGGCCTGGGTCCGAACCACCGAAAACTGAAAACCAAATCAAATTAAACCGAACCACGACCAAATAGAACCGAACCGCTAAAAACCAAAACTGAATGTAAATAACCGAACCGTAGTAGTTTGGTTCGGTTTTGGTTTTTACCCTTCAAAACCGAACCGAACCGAACAAACCGAACATAAATAAAATATGAAATTTTATTTGTTAAATGTAAGCATTAATCTTAGAGCCCGTTTGGTAACACTGAATTCGGCTGAATCGGCTGATTCTGCTGAAATTTTTGAAGTTCTGGCTGAAGTGGTTGTATTGACTCATTTTGCTGATTCATGAAAAATTAAATTTAAAATACATTTTATTAATAAAATAAAGAAAAAATTATATGTAAAAATAGCTAAAATGGTCATCTACAGTAACTTCAGCCGATACAGCCAGAAAAGTAACTACAATCTTACTTTTTCTGCTTATTACAAAATTCAGCGCGCGAAATCAAAAGTTACGTGTTTGGTGAAAAAGCTGGCTGATAAGCCTGATAAGCCGAAAAAAGGCTCACCAAACGGGCTCTTAATATCATCAATAATCTTTGAATTTCTTGTGCTAGAGAAATAATGTTTATGCTATGTTTAGTTTAGTTTATAAATGCATTTACACATTCATTGCTCATAATAACGTAGCTATATTAATCTATTATGTCTTTTATGTATGTATGTTGCAATTTGTTGCATGATTATATGTTTTTACTAGTTATTAGTAGTAATTAACTTTTATTTTTATGTAACTTAATTCTTTTTTGTAACTTAACTTTTTTATATTGATAAAACAAATATATATTCATCTCGGATAAATCACACAGGACGTATGTATTCATAAACGTTTTTCAAACTAGTCACAAACATTGTAAATTAAGAATAAATACACACTTTTATATCTCCCGCATACTCATATAATTCAAGACATATTTGTTTATTATTATTTTCTTCATTTGTTCAAGTATGCTTGCATTTTTATGTAATATGTTTGATCCCTCCAACTTTTATATCAATTTTAAATTAAATGACAAATATTTAATAAAAAACCGAAAAAATCGAAACCGAACTGAAACAAACCAAACCAATCAAACCGTGGTTTGAAGTTTTGGAGTGTAAAACCGAACCGAAACCGAACCGAACTTTTACTTTGATTCCGTATTTGGTTTTAGGTCAAAACCGAACTGAAAGAACCGAACTCACCCCTAATTTGTAGCCCTTAACAAGGACAATCTGAAACCACTTTGACCCGATCCAAATCAGAAGTGGACCCCACTCAAATAATTGCCCCAAAATGACCATTTAGTGCAATTTTTAACACATTTTTCCAACACTATAAATCATTCATATTTTGAAATTTCAGAAATTCATAAATTAAACAACATGAAAGATAAATTATTGAATTAAAGAACGATTTTAATTTAATTTGAATAATGTGAATACCAACAAGTATCGAAGCGTGTTTCACAAAATAATTGACATGCTATTTGTTATATTTACGCTGAAAACGTTAAATCGTATTGTGGTACTCATATCTTGTTGTATGTTCTTCCGTTTCAAGCGTATGATATTCAATTGGAAACATCATTTTGAGTTCTAAATCTATCGTTCTGAATCAATTTACAATGCATTAACTATAGAGTACAGATTAACCTGAAATTCACAAACATTTCCAATTACACTCTGAACACCTTTAGAAATTGATCAGATCATGCCCACATAATGGACCATGAATACCTTCATATCTCGTATATTAATGGGATGTGTTGAATATGGATTGTGGTAGAATTTTTTTAATCCATGGACTTTTAAAAAAGTCAACAGACTTTTAAATATATAGATTTTTTTATGAATCAATTCTATTGACTTTTAAATCCACGGATAAGTTTATAGATTTTCCAAAAGTCCATACACTTTTCAATCTCGAAAGTCACTGTTGGTCGTTAGAATTTTCACCTAGATCATCGCTACTGATTTGCATGTCCGCCTCCGTCAGTGGAGCTCGCCATCGTCATTAGACTGATCCACCACCAACAAAATGGTTTTGGTTATGAAAGAGAACTAGGGGCAATTAATTATATTAATTAAATTAGGGGTATAAATGTAATATGTAGTCCTATTTAAGGAAAATTTAACATATGATTGTACTTTGAGAAAATGCTACGTTTTAGCCCTATCGCGTGTAATCTCCTCTATATAATAAGATAAGAAACAATTAAACAAATGAGACAAATGTAATTCATTTAGCAACACAGAGGTCTACAAGAATAAACGAAGCATAAGAATCCAAATATATTGTTATTAAAACGAAAAGTCAAAGTTTCGAGAATGCTGAACTACATCGGTCTATTTATGATCACTTGTTATATTACACAACTCAAGGAGTAAAAAAAACAATCGTTACACAAGCTTTACACTCATCTAGTACAAGAATATGTACAATCAAGTTTATCTTCTTAATAATTGTTTTCTTTTCATTTTTAGTTTGTTAAGTTTTGTATACTTTTTTATGGTTATATATTTATTAATTTGAAATTATATTTTTATGTGTCAGCGGTTTTTCGTAATGGTTAACTGAAGACGTACCACAATTGCACCGATGTAATACTATTGATTCTTATATCAGTTCTTCTAAAAACTTCTACAACCGAATCGATGTGGAATTAACGGTTCTTCAAACGGTTCCTAATTTTCTTTCAAGAACTGAACCGGTCTCACCCCTTCATTTTTCTTCTGAAGACGACATAAAAAATATCACTTTTTATTTTTTTAAGTTTATCGTTGATGGAGTTTAATCCAACTATGAGAGCTATATCCACGAGAGCAAATGAATATATGGCAGCATAAGCCAGTATTCTATTATCCGGAGTTCATTCCCTTCATAGGAATCTGATACAATAAATACTATTAATTACACATTAGTTCGAAGAGAACTCTCGTAACATTTTAGCTGTTGTGTATTAATCGTTCCTTTAAGTCCACGTTCCTACCGTTTATTCCTGCCTGCTGCCAAATAGCTATGCACGAATGATAGCCTGCCACGTAAGCTCTAGAAACATCCCGACCTCATTAGAACTCCGCCCAGGCTCGAGTTCTGCTGTACAGCCTGGCCTGGCCTGGTTGTTGGTTCCTGTTGTGGGTCTGATTCCTAGTTAGACCTAACGGCTAATCATCCTAATCCCATTTATGGACTGATCCCGTTAAGGGCTTGATCCCGTTAAGGGCTTGATCCCGTTGAGGGCTTGATCCAGTTATGGGCTTGATCCCGTTATGGGCTTGATCCCGTTATGAGCTTGATCTTTAATTCCGTAATTGGGTCATGGTTAGAGTCCATGGTACCATCAATCGTGTTTATGACTTATTAATGTAGAATCTTAATGTTCAACTTTATTTATCGTAAAATATTCAAATCTTGCATAGTGAGACAATCATGATACCTACCTCCAGACACGGTCGGTACTAATCCAAGACTTGTTGGCCAGTTTGTGATCTCAGATAAATAATAATCAAATCTATAACCAGATCTATGTGTACTTGTGGCGAGTAGAAGACAACAGAAAAGTCCACGAAAATATTTGATGAAGAGAAGAGACAATTTCAAATAGTTAATGTACTAAAAATGAATTAAAAGTTCACGAGAATTCATGATTTTAGAAATTAATAATAATGAATAGAAATTTGCACACGCTTAGACTTTTAAAATTATGCATTGAATACACCTAAACTTTTATAAATTTGAAAAGTCCACATTGAATATGCCTAAACTTTTAAAATTCATAAACTTTTAAAATTTTGTCACTAATTTCTAACACATAATATAATACTCCGACATTAGGTACTTACAATAGTAATTTAGGACTTTCACATGATAATAAAGTTTAGCATTTACAACATTGCATAATTGGGTTGCAAGGATGGATCTATAGGTATTTGCTAGTAGTATTACTTATTTTATTTTTTTCACTAGTTTGCATGGCGTTTAGTGATGTTTTTTTTGGAGGTATTAATAAATACTACATATATTAAAATATGTGCCATAGATCTGGTCATTATTAAGGACGGAGGGAGTATGTTATTAAAATATGTGAAAAATGACGGAGGGAGGGAGTATGTTATTATTTAATTTTTTTAATTTCACCCCGGCCCCCTCTTGATCACATCCTGACTTTGTCCCTTATGGGTTGGTCATTTACTTTTTATTAAGCTGTTCCAAACGTTATTTCAAAAGTCGGATCATATCAACCAGTTACAAATTGGTCAAAAAAAAAAACTAATTTTTGGCTATCAGCCATACACCAAACCTGGTCCAGTTCATCCGGCTTCGCGTTGCAAGAGGAACAGTTCAGTTATTACATTTTCGAGTCGTAATAGACATGGGCTTTCAATCTGGGCACGGGGTGCACAATTAAAGGCTCAGCCCGTTGAAGAGTAAGCCCATAGGCCTCTTCCATATTGAGTTTCTCCACAGACTGCCCATTCGCCAACTCCCAATCAAAAGCGTGGACCAAAGTTGCCACCAGCAATTGGACCATCCGAAGGCCCAAACTCATCCCAGAACAAATTCGACGCCCTGCTCCAAATGGGATCACTTCAAAATCATTGCCTCTCACATCCGCATTGGGCTTTTCTCCTCCAGGCAGGAACCGGGCCGGGATGAACTCGAGAGGGTCCGTCCACGCATCCGGGTCACGAGCTATAGCCCAAACGTTGACGAGAAGCGTCGCGCCTTTGGGAACGGAGTAGCCGTTGATCTCGCAGCTCTGAGCTGCCATTCTGGGAAGAGAGAGCGGGGTGGATGGGTGAAGCCGGAAGGTTTCTTTGACAATTGCCTGCAGGAATGGTAATTGGGCCAAATCTGATTCCATCACAACTCGGTCTGGGCCGACTACTCTGTCAAGTTCTTCTTGAGCTTCCTTTAGGATTTTTGGGTTGCGTAGCAGTTCCGCAATGGCCCATTCCACAGTACTGGATGATGTATCGGTGCCAGCTGTAAATAAATTCTGCATCCACGTAGATCAACTCAATTAAAAATGCTTTCGTTTTAGAGTTGTTCTTTATCTAAGGACAATTATTAACTATTATAACGAGTGGAATGAGTATTCAAAGATATTAATTCAAATAATTGCATGATATAAATTCAAATTACTCCAAAATTACACGTGAACTTAGAGGTATTAAATATTTAAATGAGCAATAAGTGCATGAATGTAGGACACGCCCAAAAAAGATAATTTATTAGCATGGTTTCGGATCATTAAGGCAGGAGGGGAGGGGAGAGGAGAGTCAAGGACGGAAGGGAATGGAAGGGGAATGAAAGATTTTGATAAAAAATTGTGTTTGTTTGGAGTAAATAGGAGAAAAGGTTTAATGAAAATATTTTCACAATTTACTTTTATTTGATAGCTTACTTAAAAAAATAGATACATGTCTAATTATTTTGAATATTAGACCTATGGTCATGAGTCATAATTTTATTTGATTTGATTTCTTACTTTTTAAATTTTATAATTTTTCATTTTTTAGTTTGGAATTTTTAATTTTTTAATTTTTATTTTTTAAAGTTTTTTATTTTTAATTTTTAAAAATTTTAGTTTATAATTTTTTAACATTTAACATTTTTAATTTTTAAATTTTTAAATTTTTTAATCTTTAAATTTTTTAATTTTTCAAAACTTTTTATTTTTTTACCTTTTTATATTATAACGTTTTGTTCATTCACGTAGAAGATGAATAGTTTGTGGTTATTAACACGTTTACTCCGAAATGCCTCGATTTTGGGGGTTTAGAATAGGAGGAAGCGAAGGATTTTGAAAGCCTTCCACTTTTCCCCCTTCCCCTCTATTTCCCTCAACCAAACACACACAAATCCCCCACTTTCTTCTGATCCGAAACCCTCCAAACAAACAAGGCCTAAAAGACTATGCAAGTATGCAACAGTTTTATGGGCTTTTTCTTTGACTTATAATATGCTCCGTATATGGGACTACATAGCATTAGTATATTACGAGAAAATTCTTTAATAAATTACAACTTAAATAAAGAGCACAATCACTACTCACTGGTGTTTTCTTCTTAAATTTGGCTCATTTGCTCCTTATTGAACCAGTTTTATACTTTTACACCTCTTCCTATTTACCAATTTCTTTACAATAAAATGCAACTCACCAGTTCTATACTTTTACACCTCTTCCTATTTACCAATTTCTTTACAATAAAATGTTTTTACTTGGAACGTTTTTAGTCTCATACTAAACCAAAACATAACAGATCAAACTTAAATAAATCAGATTCGACTTGACTTCGACAGTTGTAAAGTATACAGACATAAAAAAATATTGAGTACATCAAATAAGACCATACCAGCTCATACTTCAACATACTAGATCAAACTTGACACTACGCCAAATCAAGCCACAAATTTCAACTCTCAATGATATTAGAAGCATTTATATATACCAATTTGATCAACGTTCTCTTATTAATGCGCAACTATCAATGATGCCATGATTTTGCCGTGATGCATATGAACTACTCCCTCCGTCCCCCTAACAACGGGACAATAGGAGTAACAATGAAGTAATGAAGTAAGACTAAAGTAAAAATGATTTAGAGCCACGTAAATTTTACCAAATTTGGAATGTTACAATCTTAGTGAAAACGAAAAAGTAAAATGAGATAATTTTAGTGGGACGGAGGGGATATTATTTAAAATTAAATGAAGGGTAATGAAGGTAATTTGATGTGTGGGTTTGGGAAAAAGGATACGATACCGAGGATGAGGGGTATCTTTGGGAAAAAGGAAACTAACTTTTATTTGGGCCATCCCTATTATTAGAACAAAAAAGGAGAGAGTAATTACCAAGAGCAGAGCCTTAATTTCTGTATTCGTGAGCTTCGCCCCCTGATCATCCACCGCATCTGACGTAAGCGACATGAGTGTGCTCAAAAAGTCCACGTCACGCGACGTTTTCACACCGTTGACTCGGTGCTCCTCTACTATCTCGTTCAAGAACGCGTCCAGCCGCGCGTGTAGCTTCTTCATCTTCCCCGCGATCCCCTGCAAATCTAGCCACTCCACGGCCGGGATGAAATCACCCACGTTAAAGACGCCGGCCAGCACCATCATCTCCACCACCATTGACTTGAACTCGTCCGCCTTCGGGTCGCTTTTGCCACCTCTGTTCGTTGTGTGGTCGGCGAACACCTTTCGGCCTATCATCACGCGGCTGAGAGCGTTGGTGGTGCACACATTCAGTAACTGGTCCAGTTTCACCGGAGATTTGCCTGCACTTGCTAGGGCGCCCGTCAGGACGCCCACTTCCTCCTGCAATAATCAATCGTTTTTTCAGTTCAAAGTAGCAAGTCATATGACAAAATAAATGGGACAAACGACTAAAATGTCTCTTATAATTGCTTTATTTTTTATTTCTGGATATCTCATTATATATAATAATATTTGTATGATTCTGGTAAATTTTACTGTTAAATTTGTTAGACAAATAAGGAATTGTGAACTTGTTTGAGACACCTCGAAAAGGAAATTAATTTGGGGACGGAGGTAATAGAATTATTAGACCTGCCGGACATGGCAAAAGTCATCCAAGGCCTTAGCGGAGAAGAGATGGACGGAGCAGATCTTCCGAAGCATGCGCCAGCGTGGGCCATAGGGGGCGAAAACGAGATCCTGATAGTTATAAGCTATGTGCTTGGCGCCGGAGTTGGGCGGGCGGCTCGAGAAGTTCGCATCGTGCGCTTTCAAGAACTGGGCCGCGACGGAGGCGGAGGCCGCCACCACGACGTCGACGGACCCTAGCCGGAGGTACATCAGGGGGCCGTAGGTCCGCGCGAGGGCCGCTATGGACTGGTGTGGCTTGGGGCCGAGGTGGGGCAGGTTGCCTATGACCGGCCACGGTTTCGGTCCGGGGGGCAATGCGGGTGAGTGACGACGGCGTTTTGCTTTTGCCACTAGAGAGTACACGAAAACAGCTAGGACGAGAGTGCAAAGCAGCTGGGTTATGGTGAACACAGCCATTGAATTATTTTGGGATATGATGTTTCTTCTTCTTCTTACTCTAATTAATACACTATGTGTGATCTGTATATTTATAGATAGTAATTGACTCGGGGAGAGAGTGCGTGGGTCAGTCAAGTAGGTGAAATACTTGATGCAGCAATGTACACGTGGTGTTAGCATCAATTTTTATGTCAAAAAGGTTTGACATCACATTTCGAATTCGATATCTTGACCCAATTTTTTTTTAGTAAATACCTCGTAATGATTTAAACGTAAGATTATTCTGTATGGTTAATATAATATATCGAACTTTTTTAATAATATGATTCGTTATTGGATCTTAAATGAGAACCATCCCAGAAACATTCCAGAACCGAACCGTCCTATATCGTCCTGAACATTGATTATACTCCATATATATTATACTCCCTTTGTATCTAATTAATTGACTCGTTTGCTTTTTTACGTAGTTTAAGATACTACCTCCGTTCCTATTAAAACTTCCAAATAGGTTTGGCACAGAGTTTAAGATAGTGGATATTGTGTGGTGGAAAGTTGTGCAGAGGAGAGAGAAATGTGTAAGAAATGTTGTGAACCACAAATTCTTTACTAAAAAGGGAAAGTGAAAGTTTTAATTGGAACGGACGAAAAAGGAAAGTTGGAAGTTTATTTAGGAACGGAGGGAGTAATTATTATAGATTATATGAAAATTAAGAGGTTTTTGGTACTGTATCGATACTATAGGGCACTGTAGCGGTATTGTAGTTGTTTTTTGAGTGGATTTATTTCCAAAAGGAAAATGAGAAAATTAATTTATACGTCTCAAAAAAGAAACTCAGACAACTAAATAGATACGAAGGGAGTATTATTTATTATATTAGCCAATAATCTAAATTGTGGATTTGTGGTTACTCAAAGCTTTGGTATAGATTGTATAATGCACACTCTTTGGGCCCTCAATACAATTATTTAGCGTAATAAATTTTATAAATAATACTAGTAATAACTATGATACGATACATGTAAAACTAGTGTAGTTACTTAGTCAGTAACCTCGGCAGTGCATCCTCCAGAAGATCAGAACTATAATTTTATTATAGTTTGACTATTATTTCTGTATTTCAGTTAGGTTTGATTGCACAAGGTTAGTTTAATGTAGACTTTTCAATCCCTCAATCTCTTCTCATAATTTTTTGTACAGTGACTTAATTACTTATAAACGCTAAAATTTAAAATATTTTTTAGAGAAAATGTGCAAATAATCCCTCGAACTATCGAAAAAGTGCAAATCACCCCTTTTATAGGAGCCTCTGTCCGGCCGTCGCCATTTGTGGCGGTTCTCGCTAGATTTTTTTGATGATTTTTTTGAGCATCTTCTTCATTAAGTCTAGTTTACTCATACCAAATTTCAGCTAAAAATTCAGCCGGAAAGTCAATCAAATGATTTTAGGGGGTTTTACAAGAATATTACTAAAATAAAACATATTTACATAAATATGATTATTCATTACTACAATGTGGTGTTGTGGTAACTTAAGCTCAAAACTTGAATATGAATTACTATGATTTCATTACTACTCTAGTCATTAGTCATATTTTTGTAAATCATATTTATTTTGGTCATATTTATGTGATTATTTCATGATTTTATGATATATACTGCGATGTTTAACTGCGCAATTATCTTCAAAAAATCATCAAAAAATTCGACCAGGAACCGCCCAAATAGCGATGGCCGGACAGAGCCTCCTCTAAAAGGAGTGATTTGCACTTTTTCGATTAGTTCAGAGGGCTTATTTGCCCCTTTTCCCTATTTTTTATTTTTTGAAAGTTAATTATTTATTAGGAATCGAATAGTACTGAAGAACCTTACCGATCCGTATTGAAAATGGGTACGGAATGGGACATATTCTATATATATTCGGGACGGTACCGGTTCTTTGATTTTTAAAAGAATCGTACTTTCGGATGGGACATGTCTTCGAAATAACCGTCTCGTACCGTCCCATACTCACACCTACTCCTTCGGTCTCATTTTAGCTACTCCCTCCGTCCCGAAAAGGTTGACCAAATTTCTTTTTTTGGATGTCCCAAAAAGATTTGCAATTTCCTTTTAAATTAAGGAATATTTGGCTAAAATTAATTCTCTCTCCTCTGTACAAATTTCAACCACACAGTTTTTACTTTATTAATCCACGTGAAAGTCAACTTTGGTCAACCTTTTTGGGACGGAGGAAGTATTTTACTTTCCTTTTTGCAATATTCCAAAATAAGTACGGAGTATCAGATTTCTTTTTTAAAAAGAAATATGTAATCTACAACATTTTATTTTACTATACTCAAATTTCAACTACAATTTTTACTTTTTAAACTTTTAATAATAATTGTGTCAAAGTAGGACACATGAGACATAAGTAGTAACACGAAGTAAAAAACGAAAGTACCTCGATCCTACAGTATTACATTTTGTTGACTTTTACTTGCAACTACAGAAGTAGTAGAGTCAAAGTCATATGTTTGACATAAGCAGTGGCGGACCCACTAAGGGTCCCAAGGGGTCCCGGTACCCCGTGCACCTCGGAAAAAAACCCTATATATATTCTATATATATTATTTAAAAGAGAAAAGGTGCAAATAGGCCCATGTACTAACAAAAAAAAGTCAAATAAGCTCTTATTTTGGAGGCTCTGTCCGACCATCTTCATTTGGGGTGGTTCCCGCTCGAATTTTTTGATGAAATTTTTTGAGAATATTATTCATCAAGTCTAGTTTACTCATACCAAATTTCAGCTAAAACTTCAATCGGGAATGCATTCAAATGAATTCGTGAAGATAACTGCGATTCTAACTGCACAGTTATTTTAAAAAATTCATTTGAATGACTTCCCGATTGAATGTTTAGCTGAAATTTGGTATGAGTAAACTAGACTTGATGAATAAGATTCTCAAAAATTTCATCAAAAAATTCTACTAGGAACCACCCCAAATGGCGATTATCGGACAGAGCCTCCTAAATGAGGGCTTATTTGACCTTTTTTGGTTAGTACATGGACCTATTTGCACCTTTTCCCTATTTAAAATTAATTATTCAATGTATATTTACACACAAAGCGATATTAAAACAACAAGAATGGAGTAGCAGAACGGGAGCACGCGCGGATGTAAAGTATATGTGGTTGTTGGAGGTTCTATGTTCGAATCCCATTAGTTTTTTCTTTTTCGGCGTTTTTTTTTTGTCTTTAACGGAAGGCATGGCCCAGTGGCCCCAGCCCATATTTTTTTGATCGTGCGTGTAAAAGAAAGCAGATCCAAGTATCCAACTTTATGAAACATAGGCCCAAAACAAAACAAAACACCCAACCCTCTTTTCCTTTCACGTTGGAGTGCGACTGTGCGATTCCCCCAACTGCTAAGGCGCGAAGCACGAGCACGACTGCGGACAGTGGACTGCACGAAGAGTCGATGACCACCGGCTGACCGCCGCAGTGCTGACGAGGCGACGAGCCAACGGGTGACGACCACCGGCCAAGCCAGTGAGCCACCAAGGTACTCTTCTCTTCTTTTCTCCATTAATGGCTTTTCTCAAGCTTTTTGTGTGATTTTCTTTATGCTCAAAAGTCAAAACTTAGGGTTTTCAATTTCTATGTTTAAATTAAATATACCAAAACTACGTGGCTACGTCGTTCTTTTAATTGCTTTTTTTGCATATCTTTTTTTAATGTTAGATTAAATTAATAAATGTATGTATTTATAAATGTTATTTTCAATTTTATATGATTTAGGATGAAATGATATTTTGATATTGTACCCAAATTTAAAGAAACTCAAAGTACGGGAGTAGTTCGGGTGTTAATTCAACTGATCCGCCATTAGTAAATGAAGAATTGGATCAAGTAATTGCTGAAAGTGGAGCTAATTTGGCTTATAATCTACCTGAACAACATGAGTATTTTGAATCTTTGGAAGCTGATCCTGGATTGAGAAAAAGAATTGCTGATTTTCACCCTAATGTTCAAGACGAGGTACGTCGTAGTTACATTCAAAAAGGACCGTTTCAACTTCGGGACCATGATTTCTCTTTTAAGTTAATTGGAGGCAAAAAACGTAGATTTGTTTCAAGTTGGTTTGATGAGCATAAATGGTTGGAATACAGTATTGCAAAGATGCATCATTACAAGTATGATTGTTTACAATAGTGTATGTTAACTTTGTAGTGTTATGCTTCTTTAATATATTTTTATTAGTTTTATACGAAGTATTAATTAGAGATCAGAGATATATAAGGATAGGGACCCCATGGTTCTGACTTTCTGGGTCCGCCACTGGACATAGAAAATTCAAACATCATGAAATAAAGTAAAAATTCAAAAATAGGAGTAGATATTTAAGGCTTCAATGCCCTTGTCCACAAAGGGCATGAGTCACCAAGTAGTTGATGCCGCCACTACCACTTGTGACCCTATATGCCTCATTCAATTTCAGACTCCTCGCTATGTCCTCCCTCGTCAAGCCTCACTCTCTCCTCCGCATTCAAGCCTTGCACTCTGCTTGATACACATATGTGTGGACTATGCGACATTTGATGGAAGTTCCTAGCCCCAACCCTAGTGTTTCTCTTCATCTTTAAGGTTTTGTTGTGAATTGATAAAATGATTTAATTTATTTGTATAATTGTATTGTGGAAGCCAATGACCCAGATTGTGATTTTGATTTCATTAGTTTGATTTTTACTGACGTTTACAATTGCATTAAAATGGTAATACGTCAACAGGGGTTGCACTAAAGTCATTCAAGAGTGAATGTGTATACTTTCGAGGAGTTAATTATCAAAATAGGACTAAAAATCATTCACTTTTCACAAATAGGATCAAAAAATAAACTATGTTTGCATAAGACTAATTATGTGTATCTTAGACAATTATACCCTTATAGCTATTAAAATGTTTTAATTCCTAATAAAATAATAAAAAATAATAAAAATTCGTAAAAAATACTAAAAAATTAAGAAAAACATTTCGATATTAAAAATTTAATTAATTATTTTTTCAAAAAATTAAAAAAATTAAAAAAATAAAAAATAAAAAATAAAAAA